CTAACACCCCTCTCCTCCCTTTCCCCAAAGCCAGGCACACCCCACCAATCCAATCCTCCTCCCCCTGCTCTAACTTAATTCTCGGGTCCCAGAGCTGCCACTACAGCCGCGCGTCTCCCTCCAGGCACTGGGGTGCGTGTGCTGAGCGGCCAGCACGCCATGCGCACCCCCCCAACCTCTTTTCCCTCCCCTCTCCTCCTCTGCCTTCCCCAGAGCCAGACACTTCCCCTCCCCACTTAACCCAATCCCCCTCCCCCACTAACCTTATGCCCAAGTCCCGGAGCCACCGCTGGTGCTGTTGCCGTCACACCCCTACCTGCTACCACTGCCTGTGCTTAGCAGCCAGCTGCTAGCACATGCAGGCTGGGATGCTGTGTGAGACCCAGCCTGCACGTGCAGGATATGACGTAGTGAGCTAGGAGCCATGAGCAGAACGGCACGGTTCGTGAGCATGCATGCGGCTCGCAGCAGCCCGGCTGTGAGAGCGGCTAACCTGAATGGTTCTGGGTTCCGTCCCGGTTCCGTCAGGAGCCGCAATTTTTTTCTTTGCAAGCTGCATGCTGCTCACGAGCTGCAGGTTGACCATCCTTACTCTAGCAGTTAGACATAGGGTTGTCCCAGGCGTCCTCTGGAGTGGTGCCAGTATGGTGCCCAATATAGGGCCCTGCTGACTGGCCCTATATTGCGCCAAGGAACAAGGCACTGGCCCTCAGTTCCTTGTTACTGCCAGTGATGGTAGCTGGAAATTCCTCTTGCTCGTCCTTTCCTTGCAAGCAGACAAATACTTCTTTCAAACCATTGTATATACTTACGTGGTTGTAATTATAGTTGTATTAGTTAGCAGTTAGTGTAGACTAACATGGCTACCCCCTCAGACAGTAAGTGTAGTGTCAGTGTTAAAATAGGTTGTTAGGGATTTCCCCCCACATCCTGTCAATCATCCCTAGAGCATGCCTCATTCCCCATATCAGTGGCAGATCTTCTGCAGTGGCTCTTTTGAACCCCTTGAGCCTTTAATCAGGAGCCAGGGTTCACACTTCAGAATGGCATCCATGGTGACTGCCACCTTTGTGTCAACACACGCAGTAGAGCAGCGGTCACAATCTGTGGCCCCCGCAGTGAATATGGCACCATTTTGGACCACATCAGCACCAGATCAGGTCACAGCCACAGCAGTGTCCATGTGTCCAAAGACTTCGATGATGCCAGTCATTGATGTCAGTATTAGCTCTGACGACAGCCACAATGTCAGACCCACCAGCGCCAGCAGCATTGGTCCCGATGCCAACAGTGGACTCCCAATGTACCGATGCTCAGGCACCGTCTGGTCAGTCTTTGATGGTTTCATCTACTTTATCATCTTCAACACTGATCCCCTTCTCACTTTTGGTGCTGTCAGGTTCTAGAGACCCCGCAGGAGGTAATGGAAAGGAACAGCCCCCTCCTTTAGTGGTGTCCTCCTCTTCATCACCCAATGAAGCTGTAGCAGGCTCATCTGTGGCTCTAGCCCTTGAGGACTCTTGGGTCTTGCAGCAGTTATTGTGTAGGGTAGCCCAAGGGTTGAGTATTCAAGGAGAGGACGTAGTGGATGACACCGACCCAGTGATTGACACAGTGGTACTTTGTCTGTTGAAGAGGTTTGAATATCTTTACTTTCACCTACAACCAGACTCCCTTTTGGTAGATGTGGTCAATCAAAAGGAGAGATGGATTTCAGGGATCCTCCTCTAAGTACAGAGAGGCAAAATGCCTAGACCTGTTTTCTCAGAAGATCTATTGAGTGGGCAGGTTGCATTTGCATATTGCAAATCAGCAGACCCTTGTTAGTAGGTATATCTACAACACTTGTTTGACACTGACTAAATATGCAAAGCTTCTTCCATCAGACTCTAGGTCTGAATTTTTGGCATTCGTGGAAGAATGGAGGCTCATCTCCAGTATGTCTCTGCAGGCAGCATTAGATGTTGCTACTGCGGCTACTAGAGTGATAACCACTGTGATTACTATGCATAGGGGTCCTGGTTACAAGACTCAGGCCTTCCCTTATGAGGTGCAACAGACTATCCAGGACTTATCCTTCCAGGGGGACTCACTGTTCTTGGAGAAGACAGACAAGAAACTCAACAGCCTCAAAGACTTAAGTTACCCTCCAGTCTTTAGGCTTTTACCCCCCCTTCCACCTAGCGAAGGCACTTCTGACTACAGCCTCAGCAATGCTTCTCACAAAAGGGTTGTCAAGACAGCTCTCAGAGAAGGGTCCATAGTGGCAGAAGGAGGCCATGTCAGCCTTTGAGGCAAAGCTCAGGCTACCCTAAATCACCTAATATCATACAAAATCTCTGCCAATTCCACACCACCACTATGAAGAACTGCCTCAAACTACTTGGCCGCGTGTCTGCCTGTACGTATGTGCTGTGACATGCCAATCTTGGACTCGTGCCTCTGCAGTCATGGCTGACATCAGTTTATCGCTCAGCCAGGGATGAATTAGACACGATAGTTTTACTGCCTTGTCCACTTCTTGATTTCTTGGTCTGGTAGTAGACCTGCAGGAGGTCTGTTCAGGGGTTCCCTTTGCAGCACCAGAACCATCAATGTTACTGGTCATGGACACCTCACACTTGGGATGGAGCGCCCATCTGGGGGACCTCAAGAGACAGGGCCTTTGGCCTCTGACCAATTTGATTCTTCACATCAGTGTTAGGGAGCTACGGGCAGTTTGCCTACTGTGTCGGACTTTCCATTCGTGCCTGTCAGGACATGCATGTAAGTGATGACGGACAATATTATGGCGATGTTCTATATCAACAAACAGGGAGTGCACACTCCTCTCCCCAGTGCTGGGAAGCCTCCTGCTCTACAACTTCTGTGTAGAACATTTGATTCTTCTGCAGCTTCTTACCTCTCAGGAGTGCAGAATGACCTGGCGGAAAACCTCAGCAGGTTGTTTTAGGGTCACAAATTGTTTCTTTGCCCAGACATTGTCAACTTAATTTTCCAGTGCTAGGGATTTCTCCAGTTGGAGCTGCTTGCTACAAAACACAACAGGAGATGCCAACAGTTCTGCTCCTTCCAGAACCATAGTCCCTGGTCAACCACAGGCGTGTTCTTCCTCTTGTGGGCAGATTGTCTACTATAAGCCTTCCTGCCTATTCCATTCATTCATTGATTCGTTCACAAACAAGGGGAAGCTCCAGCTACCATCACTGGCGGTAAGAAGGAACTGAGAAGGGTGTGGGTTGGTAGGGCCCTATATTGGGTACCATGCCAGAGCCACTCCAGAGGGTGCCCAGGCTGACCCTATGGCTAGCTTGTAGGGGAAAAATCTGACTACTATGCACATGTGCGTGCATACCCCTGATTAGAATGGACACACCACATCTCAAAGAACAACAGTTAGGAAAGTTTAGTAACAGTTTTTTTCTCAGAGTACTACAAATCATAATTCACAAGAACCTCTAAAAATGCCTCTCCTAAATTTGTGATTGTGTCAGTTTTCATTTTCAGAAATCCATGTTTGTGTATCCATTTGCCCATTTTGCACATGTGGATAGACTGCAAATTTTGCATTTGTATTTTCAGGGACCTATTTGAAATTTGTCCTCAAATATTTATATGACTTCAGTAAGCTGAGAAGTTTAGGCAGACTCTACAGTCATTCAAATAGAAGTCATTCATTTGTTCTCTATATGTGTGTATGTGGGTACATATATATAAAAATATGTAGACATGTACAATTTTCAAAACTCCAAAGACCACATGACAGTTTGACTACCTCCAGAATTTCTTCATTTATATTGTAATAATATTTATTTTCATTTTAGGTTTCTATTTTTGCTCGCTCAATCAACACTTTCCACTTACCTTCAGATCCATCTGTCCCTTTTATGATGGTGGGTCCAGGAACAGGAATTTCACCTTTTATTGGTTTCCTACAACATAGGTACGTGCTTCATTATTCATGACAAGCTACCAGTTTGTTATGTTAAGAAAAATGTTTCATAACGTGATCTTGGGTAGATATGTAATGGGTAACTTTCTACAGTTGTTCCTACTTGGATGTATTCTCATGCCACTTATTACAACATCCATTGTTGCAAACCATTTTATTTTAATTTTTATATTATCTAAATTCATAGAACAAATTCTGTTTTCACATAAATGTGCTGGACACAGGAGAAACTGGATGGTTCAAGGAACTGATAAGAGGGAAACAAAATCTTTCCTCTTGGGTCACTAGTAGGAGTCCAGAAGAAGTCAGTATTTATTGCATGTTATTACTACACTGTTGTTTGGCCTAAGAGAAATGAATTAGTAGTCACAGTTCATTTCCTTCATAATTAGAGTCCACATCACAAAACTTACCATGGCAAATAGAACTTCTTGAGAGCCTTGCTGTCAGTCTAGCCAGGCCCTTTCACCTACCTGGTGATTCACTCTCTTTTCTGTAAGGTCTTATGAGAAGCAATCCCATTCCAGGCTCATCTTGTTTTACTGGCACAACAAAACTCTTGCCTTGGTTTAAGTCAGTGGTAAGGAATCTTTTTTGGATCGGGGCTGCAGGCCCATGGAAAAATTAGTTGGAGGCCACACACTGAGGTGGCCCCTGATTGAAGAGAAAGACATTCTCCACATTTCTCTTGCGCACCAGAGCCTGGGGGAAGAGCAAGGGTAGGGGGGATGGCTAGTAGATTTTGTGTGCTCCAGCCCTGTGAGAGAGGAGAGCCGGGGGGGGGGGGGGGTCAGGGGCTGGATCCAGGCAAATCGGGAGCCGCATTCAACCCCCAGGCCTTAGGTTCACCACTCCTGATTTAAGTAATGATAAGATGAAGCTGCATATTGAATTCGGTGGTCCTAATTCTTACCGTTTAAGAGGACTTATTGTATAGGCAGACAGACACACGTATAAACAAACTCTCTCAAATATATAGTAGAGTATAAAGAATTCTCAACAGTCAACGTATCTATGATTACACAGAGGGGAATGCTGAACAGAGTTTGTTCTTACCTTCAGAAATAGGAGACACAAGAAAATATTTAATGGTACACATTTTTTGGGAGCTCGTTATTTTATATCTGGTTTTCGTACAGTGCCACCAACTTTAAGCTTGGTTATTTTTGGAACAATTTTGTTTCATATGTTGTAAATACAGTAATAAAATAATCTCTGACATGCTTTTGGACAATAGCCAAGCCCTTTGTCTTACACACTGTTGTGGGTTAATTTCCGTTAATTTCTACAGAGTTTCAAATGTGCACAAAGACAATTCTCAAGACAGGTTGTTATAGCAAAGCAGTAGATTTGGAAAGCTTCTCTATGTGTGACAGAAAAGACAAGAGTTTTTGGACTTAAATCTCTGCAAATCCATTTTCCAGCCTGCTTCTGACTTAACGTATGGGTTTAAAGCGTGAAGTCAGTGCTTTTGTTTTTAACTTACACTGTGAGATTTGAAAGAGTAGATGATGTGTCTGTAATAGGGAAAAAACTAGAGAGAGATTTTATGTGAAGCATGAAATTGAATTGCTGCAATGTAAAATGATTTTCTTTGCGTAATAAATTATTAGAAAAATATTAATTGGGACTGGCAGAAACTGCATTTGCTGATGTAGAGGTGTTTAAGAAGATTTGTTGTCTAAGTTTGTTCTCATTATTACTACTAAAGAAAATCATAATATGCACAGTTATGAATATATTTGTTGCTGTGACTAATTTCCTACATATTATAATGATGGTAATAGCCTGTTGTTGTTAAAGGGCTATTTGGGGCAGCCAGACATTTTTAGGTTTAATCAAATTTTTATATAGTTACAAACCAAGACATTTTAGATTTCTAATGTTAGTCCGTAGCCCCAGAGGATATGGGTAGAAACCTTCTGAAATGTTTTGTGAATTTAAAGTGTATTTTAATGTCACAACATTGGTATATTTAACCTAAATATTGAAATAAGTTTGTTTTTTGTTGTTTGAGTCAGAACCAAGGGTCATTTTTTGTAGCTCTTAAAAAAGTCATCTCAATTATCCTTCAGTCCACTCTTGAAGCAGGGAGGAAAAACAAGGAAAACTATTACTTCTTCGAGTGGTCCCTGTGGGTGCTCCACTCATGGTGTTGGGCTCATCCCGGTGCCTCGGATCCGGAGACTTGCATAGCCGTGCTCCGCCAGACCGCACATGCGCGAGCAGTGGCTCATGCCATTCGCGCCTTTGATCTGCTGTGCGCAGTTCAGCCTTCGCTCAGTTCCTTCCAACCGCCCTCGGTCACGGATGGAGCTCCATCTTTCCCTCGGGTTTCTCCTTACCTCAGACCTGTAAATAGTTACTGACAAACCAAGTTTCTCTTATCCTTACCTGTTCTTGTTCTGGTCAACGTTCTTTTAAAAAACACTCCACAAATTTGTTCCTCAACGGGGGGATACACTCTCTGTGAGGAATGCCTGGTTCCCCAGGCTTTAAGAAATGTTCACCCTGCCAGGAGCCCATGCCAGTATCGGATGAGCATGAGGCGTGTATACAGTGCTTGGGAGATATGTGTATATGGTGCTGACACGTAGCACAACGGTGTCAGCATTGCTGTAAGCTGACAGCCAGAGCCCGCATGGATCAGGAGAGGCATTTGAAAATGCTTTCAGTAGATAAAGCTTTTTAGCCTACTGAGCTGTCTACCTCTTCTGGGCACAAGCGCACCATTATGGGCAGCGAGACTTCTGCCTCAAACAAGGCCAAGCCGTCCCCAACCCATTCTCTGCCAGCGGCTCTTGGTGCCAGACGGGGCTTAAAAGATGGCCTGGGTATGTCAGGGATAGCCGGGGCAGAGTCTCGGCGGGCGCCAAATGACAACTAGAAAAAAATGCCACCGGTGGCATCGAGAGTGCAGTCAGCACCGGCACCATTGGGACCGTGGAAACTGACAGCCGCACCGGGGCATCGGCATCGGCACCGGCACCGGCAGCAGGAGCAACTGCGGTGCCTGTGGCACCAGCGCTACTGGCCATGGCAATGTTGAAACCACAGGTTACCTCGCTGACACTGGAGAAAGTGCCCTCAGCACTGCATGCCCTGGCACCGGTGCAGGCTAATCTCACGGTGGCACCAGAGGAAACCCTTACAAATACAAGCTTGTATACAGAACTCAATTCTCCCTCTGCAACTTTCTCTCCAGGGCCACCTCCCTCCTCGCAATTACATGATTTGCATTACAATAGGGCACACAGCCCAGTGTCTCCTGATAGCTACTCCTGCTATAGAGAGCCAAGATACAGAGAAAAGAGGCTGTTTCTCTCACAGTCTCCATCTCCAAGGCACTCACTGCATTAATCGCCTATCTGGCCAAGGCATCATTTCTATACAAGGCATAGTAGCATGTTCTCTTCTCTACGTTCATCGCCAGCACGCTCAGAATGATACTATGGTCATTATCATAGAGGGTACTATGACCCTCCCCATCATGTTCGGACCTCCCAATGCCACAGGAGATGCACATGTTGCTGTTCATCTACTGATTCTCGACACTTACCCCCAGTGCCTCAATGCAATCATTCACCGCCGCCTCCTCTAAAAAGCTCAGCGATTCAGTTGGAGCAGTCGGAGCCCAAAGAGGGTCAATTATCTGATCCAGAGGACCCTCAGCAGGGCACATTACCAGCAGACCGCTCATCATCTTCTCCAGATGAGGCGGTGATTCCAGGTGATGTCTCCCCACGAGACGACCTGAAAGAATTTCAGGATCTTTTCAAACGCGTGGTAGATAGCCAGGAGGTGCAGTTAGCAGATATTCAAATGAAAGAACACTGCCTGTTGAAAAACCTATGCCCACAGCATCAGAATAAAATCGCACTTCCTATTGATAAGGCGATTACGGAGGTTGCAGAGGAAATATGGCAGACTCCAGTGTCCGCTCCCCCAACGAGTAAAAAAGCAGATAAGAAGTATTTTGTCCCTTCCAAGGACTTAGATTTTCTGTTTAACCACCCGCAGCCTAACTCATTGGTGGTCGATGCAGTACAGCATAGATCAAAAGTACCACAATACAGAAATACCGCTCCAGAAAAAGATAATAAAAAGTTGGATATTTTTGGAAGGAAAGTGTATTCTTCATCCACATTACTACTACGTGTTGCCAACTATTCTGCTCTCCTTTCCAGTCATAACTTTGGATATGTCCACACAGCAAAGTTATTTCGAAATAACAGCCCTTATTTTGAAATAATTTTCCTAGCATCTACACAGCCAGAGGGCTTATTTCGAATGTGGTAAACCTCATTCTACGAGAAATAACGCCAAATTTGAAATAAGTGCTGTGTAGATATTTATTTTGAAATAGGGGGCCTCCAGCCTTCCCAGGTGCCCTGGTGGCCACTCCAGCTTCAACCAAGAACACTCCACTCCCTCCTCTCCTCTCCGGAGCCCTTAAAGGGGTAGACTCTGGCCACAGTGCCAGCTCCAAGCCTGCCAGCCCAGAGCCAGCAGTCACTGCCCCTGACCCAGTGGCCCCAAAACATGAGCCAGCAACCCACGGCCAGCCAGCCCTCCACCGCTCCCCAGGAACAGTCTACCAGCTCCAAGGAGCCTGCCAGGGCCTAGAAAAGGTGGGAGCCTTCCTGGTCCAGGGCAGAGATCATGGACCTTATTCAGGTTTGGAGGGGATGCCCCCAACGTCCATGATCTCCACACTAGATGGAGGTACACGGCCGTCTATGGCAGGAGAGCTGCCAGCCTGGCCACCAAAGGCCACTTGGGAACCCAGAAGCAGGTTTGCATGACAATCAAGTTGGTCCAGCGAGACCCCCAACCCTGAGCTTCCCTTCCCCCTTCTTCCCCCTTCCAGCTCCCTCCTTCCAGGTTTCCCCCTCTCCCTCCCACCCTCTCTTCTCCCCTCTCCTGCCTCCTTTCCCCAGTCTCACCAGAGTTTCATTCCCTCCCCCCCAGTTTTGTTAAATAAACAGAGTTTATATTTTTGAAAATAAGTGTATTTTATTTGAGATCAGGAAGGGGGGTTAGGGAGGGGTAAGTGGAAGGATGTGAGGGAGGAATGAGGCACAAGCCCCCAGTGGGGAAGACCAGGGAGGCTCTTAGTGCTCCTCAGGGTGGAAGCTCTCCTGCAGGACCTCCTGGATACTGACAGCCCCCCAATGGACCTCTCAGATGGCAGCCTGCAGAAAGTGCAGCCAGGCTCACAGCAACGCGTCCAAGAGAAGCACAGAGAGCCCAGGGGCACCTTTGGCTCCATGTTGCAGAGTTCTGTGATATCCCGAGTGAGGGCAACCAGAACACACAGAGACAAAATGAACATAAGAACGGCCATACTGGGTCAGACCAAAGGTCCATCTAGCCCAGTATCCTGTCTGCCAACAGTGGCCAGCCCCAGGTGCCCCAGAGAGGGGGGACCGAAGACAATGATCAAGCGATTTGTCTCCTGCCATCCCTCTCCAGCCTCTGACAAACAGAGACCAAGGACACCATTTTATCCCCTGGCTAATAGCCTTTTATGGACCTAACCTCCATGAAATTATCTTGCTTCTCTTTAAACTCTATTATCGTCCTAGCCTTCACAGCCTCCTCTGGCAAGGAGTCCACGGGTTGACTGCACGCTGTGAAGAAGAACTTTCTTTTATTAGTTTTAAACTTGCTACCCATTAATTTCATTTGGTGTCCTCTAGTTCTTCTATTTAGTGAACTAATAAATAACTTTTCTTTATCTGCTCTCTCCACACCACTCATGACTTTATATACCTCTATCATATCCCCCCTTGGTCTCCTCTTTTCTAAACTGAAAAGTCCCAGTCTCTTTAACCTCTCCTCATATGGGACCCATTCCAAACCGCTAATCATTTTAGTTGCCCTTTTCTGAACCTTTTCCAAGGCCAAAATATCTTTTTTGAGGTGAGGAGACCACATCTGTACACAGTATTCAACATCACATGAAAGTCGGTTTTTTCCTTGTTTTCGCACCCCATGATAAGATGGTTCCTGAAGGGGCTTATGAATCTTAACCCACCACAAAAGCCTCCACCACCTTCGTGGGATCTCAATTTGGTGCTAGATACGTTGACATGCCCTCCATTTGAACTGCTGGCTACAACTTCTTTGCACCTGCTTACCATTAAATCTCTCTTTTTACTAGCTTTGACTTTGGCACACAGAGTGAGCGAGCTAGCAGCCCTTGTGTCATCACCGCCTTATACCATATTTACAAAAGATTCGGTCACGTTAAGGTCTCACCCAGCGTTCCTTCCTAAAGTATGCTCGGACTTTCACATTAATGAGCCCATTGTGCTTTCCTACTTCTGCCCCAAACCGCATACCTCATCACATGAGGCACCTCTATGGACCCTGGATGTACACAGAACACTATATATACAGTGTTCTATATGGACAGAATGCAGAATTTCCGCAGAACAGACCATCTTATTGTTTCATTGGCAGCCCGTTCCAAGGGGCAACCACTGTCCTCGAAATGCATTGCGAATGTAATAGTTACCTGCATTACCACATGCTATTCTATACGTAATAAACCACTCTTAGTACACCCAAAAGCCCATTCCACAAGAGCAGTGGCCACATCTATAGCTTTTTAAAGCAACATGGTCCTCCAGTGAAATTTTCATGAGACATTATGCAATACTGCATCACTGAGCTTCAGACTCCTCGGTGGCAACAGCAGTACTTCCCCCTGATAATAAACTGTAATTCCAAACCGCGTTTCTCGCTTCGGTACTGCTCCGAAGTCACCATGAGTGGAGCACCCACAGGGACCACTCGAAGAAGAAGAATTTACTCACTTTTGTGCAGTAACGATTGTTCTTCGAGTTGTGTCCCTGTGGGTGCTCCATGACCCGCCCTCCTCCCCACTTTGGAATTGACGTGTATCGTTTCAGAGACTCGGGCGGCCGGAGGAACTGAGCGGGGGCTGGAACATGCGCAGCAGATCAAAGGCGTGAATTGCGCGAGCTGCTGCTTGTACATGCGTGGTCCGGCGGAGCACAGCTATGCAAGTCTCCAAATCCGCAGCGTTGGGATGAGCCTAACACCACGAGTGGAACACCCACAGGGACACATCTTGAAGAACAATAGTTACTGCATTGTTCCAATCCAGTCAAGGTGTAAAAGTTAACGAGATGTAACAGTTAACTTGAACTAAGGACTTAATTCGAGTTAACATTTGACTGCCGCGTGTAGCTGCGGGCAGTTAGTTCAGACTAAGGGGATTTAAAAATGGCGCTGGGATGGGAAGATGCAAATCTTTAAATCCCGGGCTTCATTTGCAACTTCGAATGCCTACATTAGCCTCCCTATTTCGAACTAGGGGGCTAGTGTAGACATACATTAAGTGCTTCTTCCTATCCATTCTACATTAGGTGTATGAGCTTGCCATGTGCACTGGTGCTGAAAGTTTTTCCCTCAGCAGTATCCATAGGGGAGTGGCTACAGCACTGCTGAAACACAGCAGTTCTGATGCACTATGGTGCAGAGTAAGGGGCACAGACCCTCCCTCCTTCCTCCCCTCCCCCCACGCCGTTTGTGAGAGCTTAATTCAGGGAAAGGAGCAAAATGATTATTTTCCCCCATATAAGTATGCAGGTTTCCTGGCAGAAAACTAGTTCACATCTCTTGTTCCATGGCAAATTTATCTTAAAATTTTTGTTGGAAATTGGCAGCAATGGCAAACCCTTATATATATATAAAGACATTTTTCTTCACTCAGCATACAGTCAGCCTATGGAACTCCTTGCCAGAGGATGCGGTGAAGTCTAGAAGTTTAACAAGGTTCAAAAAAGAGCTAGATAGATTCATGGAGGTTAGATCCATCAGTGGCCAACCTGCTAAAAATATATTGGTGGGGAGGGAGGGAGGAATGTGTGTAGTCTATAGCATTAACCTATAAGCTTTTGCTTATTGGTTAATCAATTGCACTATTACATATCTTGGGATTGGTCCTGCTTTGGGCGGGGGGCTGGACTTGATGGCCTTCTGAGGTCTCTTCCAACTCTATGGTTCTATGATTCTGTGATACCTAGTTAACACATTATGTATTTGTGTCTTTTTTTCCCTTTTGCATTTAGACAGAAACTCCAAGAAGAGCATATGGACTGGAAGTTTGGAGAGACATGGCTGTTTTTTGGTTGCCGACATAAGGACAGAGACTACTTATTCCGGCAGGTTATGTAAATAGTATTGGAGCTCGGTTTCACCTTGTATTTTGTCTTAGGATACTGATCTCTTAATGTTTTGCGTTGCCTTTTAGAGATGAGCTCAGAAGTTTTGTTGAAAATGGCACATTAACTCATCTTAAGGTGTGTTTCTCAAGAGACCCTCCAGCTGCAGCAGACAAAACCCCAACTAAATATGTGCAAGACAACATTCGACTTTGTGCTAAAGAGGTTGCCAGAGTCCTTCTCAGAGAGAGAGGTTGTTTCTATGTATGTGGGTGAGTAGACTGGAGTTTGAATGCCTAACAGAGTGAGCATTTAATAGAAGTTGTTGAAGACATTTGAAAGACTTGCAACATCTTCAAGTAAATGACTGGTATTTTCAGTACAATAGAATCTCAGAGTTACAAACACCTCAGTAATGGAAGTTGTTCACTGAAAAAACATTGAAAAAACTCTGAAAAAACATTATGATTGTTCTTTCAATTGAACATTTACTTAATACAGCTTTGAAACTTTACTAAGAAGAAGAAAAATGCTGCTTTCCCTTATTGGGAGTAGTTTACAGTACTGTGCTGTTGTAGCTCTTTTTTTTCCGGGGGGAGGGGGAAGAAGGGAGGCGGGCTTTGTCTCTACAGCTGTCTGATTCATAGAATACTAGGACTGGAAGGGATCTCGAGAGGTCATCGAGTCCAGTCCCCTGCCCTCATAGCAGGACCTAATACTGTCTAGACCATCCCTGATAGACGTTTATTTAACCTACTCTTAAATATCTCCAGAGATGGAGGTTCCACAACCTCCCTAGGCAATTTCTTCCAGTGTTTAACAACCCTGACAGGTAGGAACTTTTTCCTAATATCCAACCTAAACCTCCCATGCTGCAGTTTAAGCCCATTGCTGCTGCTTCTATCCTCAGAGGCCAAGTTGAAAACGTTTTCTCCCTCCTCCTTATGACACCCTTTTAGATACCTGAAAACCTCTATCATGTTATGCACCCACCTTATAGTAGTCCCATGTCTAAGTTGTATTTGCCTAGTTTATTGATAAGAATATCATGAGAGACCATATCAAATTGAAGTCTAGGTATACTACGTTCACCGCTTCTCCCTTATCCCAAGACTCGTTATCCTATCCAAGAAAGGTATCGGATTGGTTTAACATGATTCGTTCTTTACAGATCCATGCTGGCTGTTCCCTAGCACCTTATTATCTGCCAAGTGTTTGCAGATGATTTCCTTAAGTATTTGCTCCATTATCTTTCCTGGCACAGAAGTTAAACTGAATAGTCTATAGTTTCCTGGGTTTTTTTTATTTCCCTTTTTATAAATGGACACTATATTCCCCCTTTTCCAATCTTCTGGAATCTCTCCTGTCTTCCATGATTTTCTAAAGATGATAGCTAAAGGCTCAGATACCTCCTCGCTCAGCTCCTTGAGTATTCTAGGATGCATTTCATCAGGCCCTGGTGACTTGCAGACATCTAACTTTTCTAAGTAATTTTTAAATTGTTTTTTTTTTATTCTATCTTCTAAACCTACTCCCTTCCCACTAGCATTCACTATGTTAGGCATTCCTTCATCAGACTTCTCGGTGAAGACCGAAACAAAGAAATCATTAAGCATCTCTGCCATTTCCAAGTTTCCTGTTACTGTTTCTCCCTCCTCACTGAGCAATGGGCCTACCCTGTCCTTGGTCTTCCTCTTGCTTCTAATATATTTATAGAAAGTCTTCTTGTTTCTCTTTATGCCTGTAGCTAGTTTGAGCTCGTTTCGTGACTTTGCCTTTCTAATCTTACCCCTGCATTCCTGTATTGTTTGCCTATATTCATCCTTTGTAATTTGTCCTAGTTTCCATTTTTTTATATGACGCCTTTTTTATTTTTAGATATGCAAAATCTCCTGGTTGATCCAAGTTTCTATCTTTCCTACGCAGCAGAATAGCTTGCTTTTGGGTCCTTAATAATGTCCCTTTGAAAAACTGCCAACTGTCCTCAGTCTTGATTCCCATAAGACCTTACTTATAAGCTCTCTGAGCTTTCCAAAATCTGCCTTCCTGAAATCCCTTGTCTCTAATTTGCCATTCTCCCTTTTACCATACCTTAGAATCATGAACTCTTGTGATTTCATGATCACTTTCACCCAAGCTGCCTTCCACTTTCAAATTCTCAACTAGTTCCTCCCTATTTGTTAAAATCAAATCTAGAATAGTTTCCCCCCAGTAGCTTTTTCAACCTTCTGAAATAAAAAGTTGTCAATGCAGTCCAAGAACTTATTGGATAGTCTGTGCCCCGCTATGTTAGTTTCACAATATGTGTCTGGTTAGTTGAAGTCCCCCATCACCACCAAATCCTGAGCTTTGGATTATTGTGTTAGTTGTTTTAAAAAAGCCTCATCCACCTCTTCTGCCTGGGTAGGTGGCCTGTAGTAGACCCCTAGCATGATATCACCCTTGTTTTTCACCCCTTTTAGCGTAACCCAGAAACTCTCAACCCATCAGTCTTTTATGTCCATCTCTTCCACAGTCCAAGTATGTACATTTTTAATATATAAGGCAATACCTCCTCCCTTTTTTCCCCGCCTGTCCTTCCTGAGTAAGCTGTACCCTTCTATACCCATATTCCAATCGTGCATATTACCTCACCAAGTCTCTGTGATGCCAACGATGTCATAGCTGTATTTATTTATTAGCACTTCCAGTTCTTCCTGCTTATTACCCATATTTCTTGCATTTGTATATAGGTATCTAAGATACTTATTTGATCTTCCCTCCCAGTTCTGCCTTGTCCCTCCTTTCTCGCTGTTATTATAGCCCACATTCCCTCCCATCTCCAACCCATCTCCCAGGTCTCCATGTTCTTCACTTACCCATGGTCTTTGGTCACCTGTCCCCGTCAAACCTAGTTTAAAGCCCTCCTCACTAGGTTTGCCAGTCTGTATCCAAATACGGTCTTCCCCTTCCTCGAAAGGGGAACACCTTCCTGGAATATCATCCCGTGGTTGAGGAAGCCAAAGCCCTCCTGATGACACTATCTTCGCAGGCAGGCATTTACCTCCAGGATGCACCTGTCTCTGCCTGGGCCCCAACCTTTGACAGGAAGGATTAAAGAGAATACCTCCTGCGCTCCAAACTCCTTCATCCGTACTCCCAGAACCTTGTAGTCACTCTTGATCCACTCAGTGTCACACCTCGCAGTATCATTGGATCCACATGGATGAGTAGCATGGGGTAGTAGTCAGAGGGCTGGATAATCCTCGACAATGACTCCATAACATCTCGGATATGGGCTCCCAGCAGGCAGCATACCTCCCGAGATGACATGTCAGGGCAACAGATGGATGCCTCCACCCCCCTCAGAAGAATCTCCGACCACCACTACCCTATGTTTCCTCCTCACAGTGGTGACAGCAGACCTCCCAGCCTTGGGGGTACGAGGCTTCTTCTCCTCTGTTGTAGGGGATGATTTCTTATCTCCTGTATCAAGAAGAGCATGATGGTTTCCTAGTACCACGGTGGGAGAGTTCGGAGCTGGGTGAAGCACTGCCTGCTGCCAGAAGTAACCAGCTGCCAGTGCCACCGTGAGCCATCTCCTCCTCCACCAGTAATGTGTCCGCAATCCTGTGTTCTGGGACAGCTACCTCAGCTGTCTCCACATGACCACTGTTCAGGAATTGCTTGTGGATTTGGATGCTCCTTAACCTAGCCACCTCCTCCTGTAGCTCTTCCACTTTCTGCCTGAGAGATTGCACCAGCAGGCACCTTTCACAGTGGATGGTCCCCCCAGCCTGGATATCAGCAAGTGGTAATTGGAAGCCACAGTACCTGCAAAACCACACTAGGATGTGGGTAGAGGCATCCATGCACAGGTGGTCTGTCTGGCTACAGGTGCAGGTGGAGGACACAGAAGCAGTGCTGGCACAAGTGTTGCGGGTCTTCCTGATCATCGTAGGCCTCCCTCTATCAAACTCCCTCTTAAACTCCCCTGTCTGCAGCCCCCTAGTCGCTCTGCCTCTGGCTTTTAAAGCCTGCTCACCTAGGTGAGGCCTACCCCCTTGTGAGTCACACAGAGGAAGGCTGATCAAAGTCAATCAAGGGAACAAAGGTCAGGCACTCAGTCCCGACAGCCACAGCAACTGAAACTGAAGTCACCTGAAATCAGAATCAAAATTCAAACAGTCGAGCAAACTCTCTCATACCAAAAGCTAGTACTCTCACACTCACCTGGTAGCCTGTTGAGCGGCGGGCTCTCTTAAACTCCCTGTCTGCAGCCCCCTGTCTGCTTCACTTCCCCTGGAATTGTATACTTCCAGTTCCAAGGGAGATATGTAGTTGACTGGTCAGCTAGTAATGTGGAGGTTCTATTGTACTAAAATATTCCTATTTTCTGTGTAAACTTTATGATATAATGTTTGTCTTTTACCTCCACAGCTTAATCTTTTTTTTTTATTATAGCCAGGCAGTCCACTACAGGCAGTCCCCGGGTTACGTACAAGATAGGGACTGTAGGTTTGTTCTTAAGTTGAATCTGTATGTAAGTCGGAACTGGTGTCCAGATTCAGCCGCTGCTGAAACTGATCAGTAATGTTTTCATCAATTTTTCATAAAATTAATATGGTTCAAGAAACTACTACTAGCTCAGGATAGTATTTTGAGAGAGACCTTGACAACTTGCTGTTACATTTCATTAAATAACATGGATACATGCTATATTTAGACCTTCTAACCTAACTTCTGGATCTAAAGTGTTAGAAATGTGAAGGATTTTAAAATTATCTTGCTAGGACATCCAAACCTTGGTATCATCCTGAATCTTCATTTCATACTTTAAAAGGAACAGACAATAGTGAATATGGGTGTGAAGTGTGTTATTCACAGCTTCAAAATGGGAAAGGCTTCAGCTATGGCCCTGGTAACTGTCATGTGACAAGGCATCTAGGTGACTGTATATGTGAAATGAGTGCAAATGCTCAGAAATGGGCCTCAGAATTACTTGTTCTGACTTTTTTTTTTCCAGGAACCCCCCGCTGCCGGCGTCCTCCGAGGCTTTGCTCCCCGTCTCCCTGGTCTGCTGGAGACAGCAGACCAGGGAGATGGGGAGCAAAGACAGCTGCGGCGCATCTGGGCTGTCCCGCTGCCCGCGTGCTCCGGGGCGAGAAAAACCCCATTCGTAACTGCGGATCCGATGTAAGTCGGATCCGCGTAACTCGGGGACTGCCTGTACTCTATCGATTGTTTTCACGAGGCTTTGCTCCCCGTCTCCCTGGTCTGCTGGAGACAGCAGACCAGGGAGATGGGGAGCAAAGACAGCTGCGGCGCATCTGGGCTGTCCCGCTGCCCGCGTGCTCCGGGGCGAGAAAAACCCCATTCGTAACTGCGGATCCGATGTAAGTCGGATCCGCGTAACTCGGGGACTGCCTGTACTCTATCGATTGTTTTCACTATGTAATGTTTCAGAAATGTTTCCTGTTCATGTAGTATTATTCAGTTAAAGTAGGATAGGCTACAAGCAAATGGTGCAGGATTTTTAGGAGCATCTCAAGTTGTAATGCATCCCTGATTGTTTACAGTTAATTGAACATGTGGTGCTAGGCTTCTACTAAAAATAATGGTGAGCAGTATTAGGGCTTTAATTCTTTGTGTCTCTGAGCAACTAGAACACAGCATAACCATGATAAAGTCTAAATCCATCTAGCAGGAAGCAATTATTTTCTTCCAGTTTAAATGTGGATCTGAGTTTCTGTTCCACATACCTTTGAATGTATTGAAAGTTTTCTACCATAGCTGTTTGAGAGGTATTACTATTAAGACTACTCCCAAGTACATGAGCAATGAATATCTGGGGTGAAAGCCAATATAAATTCTGTACATCTTCATTTTAGAAATTCTTGTTTGTTTCCAAAAATATCCTGTATCTGAGGCTGCTGGTGGAAGGAGAAATCTGCTACTAAGTGCTATTTTTTCTGTCTTTTCCAGAGATGCAAAACACATGGCTAAAAATGTGAATGATACTTTAGTGGACATTTTAAGCACTGATGCTGGAGTTGACAAATTGGAAGCAATGAAAATCCTTGCTACATTACGACAAGAAAAACGCTATCTACAGGATATCTGGGCCTAAATCTCTGGCCTTTGTGCCTTTGCAAAACAACAACTGTTAGCCATTTTTCACCTAATATACTGTATGAGGGCTCTGCTTAATCTTTGGATTACTGTCACTTCAATTTAAGTAAATTTGCTCATAAAAGCAGCCAATTGCTCGTTTAAAAATACCATTCTCCAATCATTTAATCCTAGATAATTCCTACTGATCTTTTGAATAACATTTAAAGCCTTTACAATACCACCACAAACAAAAAATGGAATCTCTGAGTCATCACTTTGTAGCAGTATTACCAAGGAGATTCTCACAGAACTCTAGTCCTCCACTTTAATACTTTTATCCTTGAAAATAACATTTACCTGCATTTGTGCAGTATACAGTATTACAGGTATTATCATATACACATGGGGTACAGGCAGTCCCCGACTGGGGGGGGGGACTCCCCCAGCACAGCAGGGAGACAGGAGCGAAGCCGCAGC